CAGTAAAAAGTAAAAGTATCTGTTCATTGTTCATCGAACAATACTAGAGAACATAATACGTGAATACGCAGGGATTTTAATGTTTACAAAGTTGTCACTTTTCTACTCATACACTTAATACAAGTTCTATGTATGTGTGAGTGGGTGAGAGAGAAAGACACAGTGTACATAGTAAACGAACGTTGTACAAACAAAAGGGTTAAATGCCTTAAGATAGTGACAATTAAAAAACATTAGGATGTCCTTGTTTTTAAATTGGCGTCATGTTGTTTGTTGTTGTTAGGTATTTGTAATGTTAGAAAACATAAAAAAGAGAAATATTTTAATTGAGGTCAAACTGTTGTAGTTGTTTTTCATTTCTTTTTCTTTTTAATATTTTGTTTATTCGCCTCCGGATGTTAGAATCATAAGGGAAATAAACTATATAGCCAACAAAAGCATCTACATCCGATGTTTTCGCATGAAAGCAACTAAACACACACATACACACACATACACACATTTTGAATGTTTGCTAAACATTTGTAAAATATTGCGTTCATATAAACATTTACTTTTGAGAAATGTTGCTTAAATTTAATTCAAATCACATACATATACACATTAATAGCGATCATAAATTTTTTAATGACAAGAAAGACATCCTCCTAATCCGAACATGGTCATGAAATAGATTTAGTGATGCCATTTTAACTAATAAAAGAAACATAATATCGGTTGTATAACATACACATGCTCGGTGTATGTGAGTGTGATTGGGTAATTGTTAATATACACTTATAAATACATATAAAATATGTTCGTATATATGCGATCACATCAGCGTAAATTTCGCACACTTCCGTTACACTCAACATCCGCCACAACTGTCACGCCAACATTAAAAAGCTTTAAAGCAAAACTGTGAAGAGTAAAGTTTGTTTTTTAGATTTTTTTATCATTCATTTTACTTCCCTTTATTTCGCATCTTTTTCCAAAACTTTATGACTTATTTAAAAACATTTGAAAAGAAAAAACTACATATATACATATAATAAAAACTAAACAGAATATATATTATATTTTCACTATAAACTGTTCATAATATGCATGAGTGTATATATTTTTCATATATTTTGTTTTTATTGTAAATAAAATTTATTTACAGTTTTCCATATTAAATTTTTAATATTTTTTAATATAAAGTATGTGAATAAGCAATAAATAGTTTAACTATTAGTTTTTTTTATAATTTGTATTCCCTACATCAATATAGCGTGAAGCTTAGATATACAAATTGTATTGGAGTCAAAAAACTTTTTGGTCACAGTTACATTGCTTTACATGCAATGATTAAATTTGATCCACGATTTCATGTAGCCCCCATTAAAATTGTCTATGAGAACGCCCGTTGAATAATGGCCAGTTTTATGGACAAGTATAGTGCATACGATATTTGACGCTAGACCGAGAAAAAATTACTTTTAGAATATTTCTTTAATATTTAACAGAGACATTAGAACGATAAAGATAAGAAACCCGATTTTCTATTTTTAATCGGCCATTTTTGAATATATTTTTCCAAAACTTGTCACGTTTTAATGACGGTCCCTACTTTCTCGATTTTATTGAAATGTTTTATGACATTTTACTATTTCTTAAATTACTTTTAAACAAATCTTTGGCTTTGTTAAATAAACCCAGATTTAATTAATATTAATTTAATGAAATAACTCCTCAAATTTGAAAATGAAAAAATGCCCCAACGAAATGAAATAACTCCGTAAATTAAAATGAAATAACACCCCATTTTGAGGATTTATTTCATATGAAACAAATCCCTAATTTTAAAATGAAATAAGTTCCCATTTAAAAATTAGACTCTAGATATAGAAAATAACAAATTATGGAACAAGAGTGGATCAAGGATTTTCTACTCTATGATATGTCCAACTACGGCTTCGCTTAATAAATATTTTCTAAATAGGACGCAAGGATTTATCACTCTATCATATGTCCAACACTGGCTTCGCTTAGTAAATATTCCCTAAAAAGCCGGCCTAAGGCCATACGCTCTTGATACAGGGAAAGTGTATTCTTAGCGAAGCCGGTGTCCAATATACCCCAGAGGATAAAACCCTTGCGCCCGGCCGTCAATCAAACATATATATTTTTTTTTTTATTTAAAAGTAATATAATGAAATAACTCACCAAAATTATTTTAAGGGATTTTTTTCATTTTTGAATTTTGAGGAATTATTTCATAATGAAATAACTCCCCATTTTAAATGTGAAATAATGCCCCAAAAAGCGAATTAAATCCCCAAATTTTGTTGTTTTTGCTTTTTGAACAAATTTTTAGGGAGTTATTTCATGGCGCCAAATTTAAAATGACGGATATTTCTTAGTACTATTTTAAAAAATTCGAATTTTGAGTAATATCAGGCTTGGTGAATAAGTATACATATTTAAAGCTAGTATAGATTATACCCTTTCATATTTTTTATAAATTTTTGTTATTAAATTTTCTAAATTTAATATACATGTATGAATTTTATATAAATATGTAACTCTCTGTGTTCCACTTTTTCACACTTCTTGCTTACACCGGATGGGGAGATTAGGTTCTTTAAAAAAAAAAAATTTTCCAAGTTTGGAATTTTTTAATCGACATTCCTGACAGCAGCCGAATATATATACATACTTATATATGTACGTGTATAATAGTATGTATGTATAAATAAAAAAATCGTAAATGTATTAACATTTCACTCCAAACACGTGTACACTTTGTGGTTTTCCATTTTGAAGGGCATTTTCCTATAAACGCACTTCAATAAATGAGCCAGTTTAGTGTTTTTATTAGTGAGTGGATGTTCCTTTATTGTGGATTACTTCGAGAATGAGATCTGGCATTGATTCAACTAATTTTTTAAGGAGATCGGCATCAGTTTCCTCCCAGACTTGTTTAATTTTTAGTTTTAACTCTGAAACTGTCATTATGCTTTCATTCTGGGCATTAGTTGCGTAAACTATGCGGGCCATGTACCCCCACAAGTTCTCCATAGGATTTATGTACGGACTGCATGCCGGCTAGTCCAAGAGGGGAGTGCTATGTTCATGAAACCATATTTTGGGTTGCTTAGAAACATGGATTGCTGCATTATCGTGTTGAAATATGCAGTCGTCTTCCATTTTTTCATCCATAAATGAAATGAGACCATCTTCATTATAAATTTGGCTGTTCATTTTTGTTGGAACGAAGCGTATTTTTGAATTTCCAGCTGCAGAAAAAGCTGTCCAAACCATCACACTCCCTCCACCAAAATTGCGATTTGACATACCTACGTCGTTTGACCTCAAATCATGCCAATAGCAAGAGTATGAATCTGGGCCAGCTAAATAAAAGATTTTTCATCTGAGGCAATTACTTTTTTCCCCTCATCTCCCAATTTCATTTATTTTCATGCAAATTTGAGTCGGTTTTCTTTATGCTGATTTTTAAGCATTGGCTTGCACTTGGGTTTCTTCCATTTTATGTTACCATCTGTTCATAAAATGTGTGCAACGTGTTTGGAAGTCCCAGGAAGGTTAAGTTTAGTGATTATTTAAGTTGCAATTAATTTATTGCGGGCTGGCTCTTGTTTAATGAGATTAAACTATCATCTTGTTAATTTTTTATTTCCTTTTGTAGGATTTCGTATTCCATATTTTGGACCTTTCTTGATAAAATTGAGAACAACACCTTCAAAACGTCCAATTTTGCGAGAAATTTCTCTATTAGAGCACTCTTGGTTACGAAAAAATTTTATTTAAATTTTTTCCTGGTCAGAAAGAGAAGTTCCCTTGGGCATCGTTTAAAGTTATGAAATTTTTCGATAAAAACCGAAAATTTTATCGGAAATGAAAATTTTGCTACAAAAACATAACTTTAGTTGAAAAAAAAACTAAAATTGTTCAAAAAAATTTCTTTGTCACTTTTTAAAAACAAAATTCGCGTCTGCGTTTATAAGAATCTTCCACTTAAATTAACAGCAAGATCATTTTATTGCCTTGTAAAGGAATATAGCAGAAGTGAGAAAAACGATTTGCTTACATTTAAAAAATACCGCCATGTCGCTTCTCATTTAGAGTCTTCAACATTGCTTTTGCACAAGAACAACAAATATATAACAAAAAAGGAGAAAAAAATTAAGTGCGTTTATAAGAATATTCACCAGTGTATTTGAAGCTAGTATAGATTATACTCTTTCATATTTTTTATAAATTTTTGTTATTAAATTTTCTAAATTTAATATACATGTATGAATTTTATATAAATATGTAACTCTCTGTGTTCCACTTTTTCACACTTCTTGCTTACACCGGATGGGGAGATTAGGTTCTTTGAAAAAAAAAAAAAAAAATTTCCAAGTTTGGAATTTTTTAATCGACATTCCTGACAGCAGCCGAATATATATACATACTTATATATGTACGTGTATAATAGTATGTATGTATAAATAAAAAAATCGTAAATGTATTAACATTTCACTCCAAACACGTGTACACTTTGTGGTTTGGAAACGATGCCTCCAGAAAACAAAAAATTCAACATTCTAAACAAATTTCTAATTTCAAAAAGCACAGTTTTCACAAAAAAAAAAAAAAAAAAAACAAATATTCGAGTAGGAGTAGAGGATAAAACGGCAAAAGTGGCAAATGTTCTCTTTAAATGTATTTAATATAACAAAATAAAGTTATTTTGATGTCTATTGACAATTAGGGTTCCAGAAGGGTTCCTTCAAAATAATGTTAACAAAAAGTTTTAATCGTTTACGCACCTTTGCATTTCAAATCAAAAAAAAAAAAGAAAACTTTACACCAAAGTGTGAACTACGTATACGTGCGTGCGGGTGAATGTTAAATTTTCATTCATTAAATTCAAATTATAAATATGTAGACATAAATATAAAATTATGAAAACAACTTTTTGTAATCAGTTTATATTAATATTTTTCTTTATTTTTATTTCTTTACAGAATCCACATCATAAAAACATCAGGTAAAAATCATTTGCTTCATTTAAACTCAATTGAAATTCATTTTATTTATGAGTATTTACGCTCTATTTGCCTTGTAAGCTCTTGGAAATTTATGTTTAATTAGATTTTAAAATATATTTAATTATTAAGTAAATTAAATTAAATTAATTAGACATGCATACACACATATAAAATATCGTTTTTTAGCTTAAATTTTTTGTTAATGTGAACAGACTTTAAGTTTCAGGTTCAAGATTCATAAAAATCGGTTAAATTCCTAAATAAACAATCAACAAGTACAAAAACCCCACATTACATTTACAGTGTCTCACATAAGTATTCGAATTTGGTTGTACTTTGAAAAGAAACATAATTTAATAATATTTTTGTCTGTGAAATGAATAATTAAATTTGTTATATTGTCTAGAGAGTCCTAAGGTATAATATCACACTCTTTAAAATTTGGAAAAATTACATTTACCTCAATTGATTTAACTTTTTTTTTAAAAAAGTCCATAAAATTGCCTCACAAAAGTATTCGAATTTTTCCTGTATTCCATATATGACCATATTATACGAAACACAAAAATTATAATCGAGTGGTTTTTTGCTTAAAATTGTGTTAAGGGGTTACTATCGACCGATATTTTTAGCCCATTTGTTCCACAATTTTGGAGCATTTGTACCATCTTTTCATGTAATATCATTAAAATGGCGATTTTTTACCATATTTGCAATTTTTTCCTTTTTTTCTGAAATAAACCCAAACTTTAATATTGGGATTTAATAGACCCCTTGAGGTATCTAAAAATAATAATTTTTGTTATAAGGATCTGTACTTAAAAGTTCCTAGATGTATTTTTGGTATCGTTCTTCTGTTTCTAATTGAATTGTATGTATCTTAAGTCCCTTTTCGTACCACTAGGGTCGATATTTTCCGACAAAGTTGGCTAGTATACATTCATGTACATATTAGCACTAATATATTTTAAATTTTCAATACATTATATCGGTATACAATTCCAAAACATGCCTTAACAAAACGTCATCCTATACAGTAGATTTGAGTTTTTACTATTCGTAACTTTCACGCTTATGTTGCCCATTACAATAACACTGTAAGTACAAAATTTTGGGTTTATTTTGATCATAGTAATCAATATTTAAACAGATATCGATATTTTTGAGTTAGACCATAATGATATAGTGGCATGCAGCCTGGAGGTCATTGGTATATAAAAATAATGATACTACCATATTGAATGGTGTTTCTTTAAGGCATGATTTGGAGTTGTACACTTCCACAATACATTGAAAACTTAAAATATATAAAAGCTGATATCTAAAAGAATATATACAAGAAAACTTTCCCCGAAAAGTTTTGACCCTAGTATTATGAAAATGGACTTAAGTTCCAATATATTGAATTAGCGACAGAATAATGATATCAATAATATATCTTGGATCGTTTGAATACAGATTCTTGTAACAAAAATACTATTTTTAGATACTCCAAGGGGTCTATTAAATCCCAATATCAAACTTTGGTTTTATCTCTGGAAAAAAAGAGAAAATACTACAAATATTGCCAAAAATCGCCATTTTAATGGTATTACATAAAAAGAGGGTACAAATCCCCAAAAATTGTAAACCAAATGGGCCAAAAATATATCATTTCGGTTGATAGTAACCCCTTAAAACAATTTAAAGCATAAAAACTAGTCTATTCTAAAATTTGTTTCGTATAATATGCTCAAATATTAAATACAGTAAAAATTCGTATACTTTTGTGAGGCAATTTTATGGACTTTTTTAAAAAAAGCTAATTTAATTTAAGTAAATGTAAATTTTTCAAGTTTTAAAAAGCGTGATATCAAACTTAAGGACTGTCTAGACAATACAACAAATTCATTTTTTTTTTGCACACAAAATATATTATTAAATTTGGTTTCTTTTCATAGTTTACCTATATTCGAATACTTATGAGAGACACTGTATATCGTTTGCCACAATTTTAAAGTTCCTTAACTTTAGCTTTTAAAATATAACTTTATAAAAACAAATTTGGATAAAATTATGATTTTCATTTTTTACAAAAAAAATCAATTTAAGTTTTTTGTTTAGCGTTTATGTAAATTCAACTCTCATGAAATAAATGTATTTACAAACCTCACACACATGGTAAATACACATCATATTTATGCATATAATATGTATATGCATTAGGGTGGAACAAAATAACTCTTTCTATATACTTGCATAACTCATGGGATTACTTGTAGATAACTAACCCATAAATTCTGTGGTACCCCGAAAAAATTTGAACCGTAAATTTGATTAGATCCACTAGCGCTAAAGCATGAAAAAGACTAGTAAAAATATATTTTAGAATACGCTCATCTAGAATCGATCGAAGTGGGCCAATCCGAAATTGAAAAAACTTTCGAGGCTAATAAAATTCAAAAACTAGTCTATAAAAGCCTAATTTGGCAATTTTGCTAGTAAAAGAGTTACAAAATGTACCCTAATATATTCGTATGAATTTATTTGATGTCTATATGAGAAGAAAAAATCTTGCATAAATACGAGTTGGTAGAATTTATAAACAAATAAAAATGTTGGAAAAAAGTTATGATGTTTATATTAAAATCTATACCTATATACAACCACATACAGGCACACGGACGTAAAAGTTCTAACTCTTGTATATATATTCCCCAAACAAATTTCCAGAGTTTTTTTTATTCTCTGCTTTGTTTTTGGCTTTTTTAGAGGGGTAAAAACGTATTTATTACCATTTAAGTCAAATTTACATACTTTTAATGTTGACGCTGATGTCGAAAAGTAAAATCATTATAAGAAAGATATGTACATATGTGTTTTTCACATAACTGTTGATCAAGATATATTCTCACTGAAACATATACATACATACCATTGTAAATGTAGATATATTCGTATTCACACACGAAGTGCAAAATGTTTGAATGTTTAAAACATTGGGGTATAAAGTTTTTTAAAATTGCACAACCGCTAAAAAAGTGGTCTCTATATGAAAATCAACTTTTTCATTTATGTTCTTATTTGTGAGTTTTATAAAACAAGAACAAAAACTCTTTTTATTTAAATGATGTTGCTGGTTTGTTGTTGTAAATATTATTTATGGTTAAAACGTCACAAGCATGTGCAATAAGGAAACTTTTATTTTAAATATTATGCGGAAAACTTAACGTTCATAAACACACTAAGCAGTTAGTTAATATTCGACGGGTTAAAATTAGTATATGAGTTAGTTGAATGTATGTATGTATATACGAAAGATTATTAACAGTCAAAGCAACTGATGACACTCCAACTAAGAACATTAACTCTTGAAATCCTTTTCATACTACATATGTAAGTATATATGTATTTAAATTTTGTATGTGTGCAGTCTGTGTGGGTAGATTTTTAATGCTCCTTTGGCATTTTTAGGAGCTGCACGCACACTTTCAATTTCTTGTGTTTTTCTTTCATTCGTTAACCAGGGACAAATGGTGTCAAGTGATGTACTACGAGTACCACGTGTCTAAGGATAAACAAAAACATTTACACAAGTTGAGATAAAACTTTCGCTATGAAGAATCTCTTCATTCATATAAATATTACAAACATAAAAGCCCTACTTACGCATACATGCAGAGAAATAAATATGTTTGGCAATCATTCTATTCTAATGTTCATACAAGAAATTCAACAATATTTCGACCATTGTAATCAAATTTCTAGTTGTCGACCTGTTAATCTAAATCTATCATTCAAATGAATGTTGCAATCTTTATATATAGAAATGAATGTGTGTTTGTTTGTATGTTTGAACGTTATAGACTACTAAACAGCTGAACCGATTTTCTTCAAATTTTCACAGCGTATGTCTGCATGTCTGGAATAGGTGGGCTACTTTTTATTTTGAAATTCCAAGTGGGCGGGGTGCCACGCCCATATTAAGAAAATATGAAATGCTTATATTTGAGATAATATAACAGTTAGAGTCCTCAAATTTTGTCGGAGCCACTTTAGTGTCAATATGATTATTTAGGACAAAAAGTAGGCGGACTAGCATTAAGGTGCGTGGCACTTCCCATATATATCAAATACAAATTCTTTTATCTTGGAAACTATTACAGTTAGAATCTTTAAATTTTGTACGAATAACTTTAACATCCATTTAAACATTTTGGTTAATAAATTGGCAGACTAACCATGAGGGGAGCGATACCTCCCATATTAATTAAATACAAAAATTCGTTTATCTGGGAAACTAATGGAACTAAATTCTTCAAATTTTGAACGAAGAACTTAAATATTCATCTGAACATTTTGGAGGAAAAAAAGCGGACTTTCATTAGGGGTCTTGAAGCCCCCATATGAATTAAATAGAATAATTCGTATATCTGAGAAAATATTAGAGCTAGAACCTTCACATTTTACTTGAAGACTTTTGACATTCATCTGAACATTTAGAGTATAACGGGCGTACTTTCAAAGGGGAACTTTGCACCTCCCATATGAATTAAATATAAAATTTCGTTTATCTGGGAAACTAATAGAACTTGATTCTTAAAATTTTTGCACAAATTATTTTAATATTCATCTGAACGTTTTGGGGAAAAAGTGCGGGCTTTCATCTGGGGAGCTTGAAGCCCCCATTGAGAAACTATTAGAGCTAGAATCTTAAAATTTTACATGAAGAACTTTGACATTCATGGGAACATTTAGAGAATAACAGGCAGACTTTCAATGGGTGGCTTGGCACCACATATATGAATTAATTACAAAATTTCGTGTATCTTGGAAACTCTTATATTCTTCAAATTTTTCATAGATAGATAGAAATTGGCGATAGATAAAAACAGGCGAACTTGCAATAATTTGCTTGACAGCTCTCATATGTAACATATTGTAAATCTGGAAAACTATTGTAGTTAGAATCTTCAAAATCTTTAAGTGGGTTTTTTATTTATACATATTGCTTTCAGGG